GGAAAGAGTTTGCAAGAAAGAATCAGTTTTTCTGCAGTCTGTTCCCATGCCCTCCTAAAAATTACAATTCCAGCTCAGTCCAGTTCAGAAATGTCTTTCTGTATGTGGGAAATTGCATCTTTTCATAGTTTGCAGAAATAAAATGAGGCTTGTTTTACAAGACATAAATGCCATAGAAAATTCTATTCAGAAAAACCATCCATCCGTTTCCAGAGTAACCTATAGCACACGTACACAGTGGTTCTTTAAAGTCCTTCCTGCCTTGCATGCCAAGTCTCACTGAAGACCCTGGTACTCCTACAAAAAACAGCCTGAAACACTCATTTCCTAGCAGGACAGGCACAGTGTAAAGCCCCAGGCTGAAATTACTGATAACACTTGGGAGGTCAAGTTTTCATTCAGCGCACATGGGACCCCATTTGATAAATACTAGTGATAAATCCTCGAAACTGGTAGGAATCATATTTACGATATTCGGTTTATAGTAGCCATGCTAAGCTGCCAGGGAATTTCTGGAAAGAGTTAATGTTTTGTTAATTATTTTTTACTCCCAGGAATCGTTAGTGTACCCGGGTTTCATCTCTTTACAAAGATCTCTAACAAATACCAGAACTTGGGTTCTTTGTGCGACAGGTAGGGAAACATTTAGCTACAGGGTAGTAAAACAGGATATATAGAAGCCAAGCTGCTTTCTTCAATTCATAATCTTAGAAACTCTGAAATGCTTAAGAGTCATATAAAATACTGACTCGGTAACCATGCACTATTTCATATCACCCAATAACTGTGCCAGTAATGATTAGTAATTAAACAGCCTTATGAATAACCTGCACTAAAGCCCTCCTGTTTGCAAGAAAAGTCTCCAAAGAGAGGGCTGCACTAGTGTTGCGAGCGCAGATCTGGAGCACACAAGTCCTAATCCCAGGTCTGTCACTTACTGCCTCTGTGGCCTTGGGCAAATTACTTATCCTCTCTGCCTGTTATCCCATCTGTAAAATGGGGATAATAATACTTACTTAGTCCTCACAACAACTTGTGAATGTAAGGACTGCTTTAGTTAATGTTTCTAATACATTTACTATTAAGGGTGTTATGTAAGTATTATTATAATTTGTAATATCAAATCAGTTTATTCAAGTCACATGGTGTTGCTGGATATACCATGCTATTTCTACTTTTTTATATAAAACTTTAGTAATTCTTCTAAAAACCATTTAAAACAAACAAACATTGATATTTCTTATAAGAGCTGGAGTCCAGCTTTGCTCCGATTAGTTCAAGCCAGATAGTAACGTGAAGTGTTGCTTTCTGAGTGTGTAGAAGTCAGTTGCACTACCTGCTTTCCAACTTCTGAGATATGTATGGTTTTAAAAAAAAAAAAAAAAATGTAAATGGAAGTCTTAGCAGAATTGATTATTGTAGAGCAAAATCCTCGTGGCTAAATAAAACGGTCACAGGTCTTTTCTAGTAACGCTCAGTAACATCTCCCAATAAAAAGGAGAAATGTTTTGTTTACAACTGGCCCAAAGAGGATTTTTTTTCAGCTGGTAATTTAACCAGATCCTGCTTTCAACTATCTTCACGCTTTTCTTTGGCTTGTCTGTGACACTGTCTACAATTCACATTTAAGGAAAACAGTCCTAGGAAACTATATTCTCTTTCCATCAAGATTTAGTAAAAGTTCAGTAACATCTAAAATAGATTTTAAACAGAGAAACCCAAAGCCTACAGCAACAACTTTTGATAATGGGCTTCCTAACCTGCCTCTATTGTAGCCATGCTGGATTTCACACCAGTTTTACTGGTAAAACTTCACTGACTTCCTTCTAAATTTCTATTAGCACCGGAGGTGCTGGTGGCGAAACTTCCCATTCGCCATTGACTTCCCTGGGAGTCAGATTAGGTGTAAATTAGTGAGATAAGAACCTGTATTTATGTCAATGGAAGCAGATTTGGTCATTAATTTCTGCCTAGAAAACCAGAAAGTCTTCAGCTAATACCATTTCGCTTTTTACAGTTTTTAAGGAAGAATTAAGCATTGCAATAAAAGAGATTTGTCTTTAATCCTTGTTAAAGATCTTAAAAATAAGATTTTTGAGACGATCAAAACGTTTGCCCCCCTCCAACTGAACAGCCGTTCTTCGGGCATCGTTCGCGGTAGGGCTCAGTCCTGCAAGGCACTCAGTTGCTCCGACCTTGGTATGGCAGAGTACTAATGAATGTATTTTAAATTGAAGCACATGAGCAGTCCCATTAAAACCAATGGAACGACTCAAAAACACTTGTAAAACACCCTTCAGTATTTTACTGGTTTCAGGACTAGTGTTCAGTAGCTCGCAGGACTGAGCCCATCAGCTGCAAAGCAGCAAAATAGTCAGCATGTAATGAAACCCATCCCTGTTCAGCAAAGCTGATAAATTCTTGCTTGCCCATAAGATGCACACGTTGGTCCCACCGAGCGCTTTGCCGGATCCGAACCAGAACGAGCAGTCTTGCTGTAACGATACACTTGTCTAACACTGTAACTCTCTTCCCCCAGAAAGAGAGGGAAGCGATCAAACTTCAAGTTATTATGAATGTAAGAAAAAAAATGA